TCACTTTATCTGTGAATAAAATCAACATTTTTGTTTTTCTATCAATAATCTATTTTTTGGGGCGCCATGGATGGAACGCAGATATGAAACAAACAAAATGGCTCCTTCATTCCTGGTTTTCGTTGCTTCATGACTCAGTTTCATGGAGATTCAGAGTTATGACGCACCGATCACTCAAAATTCAGGAAAATCACAATTAGTTTGAAACGAATGCATAAATCAGCTAATTACTTATTTTCTTTGGTGTTGTTGACATTTTGGCACATATTGCCAGTCTGCAACCAGAGAAGCAAGCAATTACTGCTGTCTCCAACGTTACCTCAATAGCTCAGGTAGGCATAGCTAGTCCTTCAACACACATGATGTATCCACCTAAATATGGTGGTGGTCCTTTACACTGTTGAGGGTTTCTTAACCAAGTATCAATTTTGAGTTATCTGCTAGATCATTTCACAAGGGTTAGGGTTTACTTGGTTGGTCAAACACAATCCCAGAATAGATTGGGAAATGGGACAGATTGTTACATGGGGTATGAACTTTCAGCAGACTTTATCTGTTAATTTCCTTCACGCCATTAGTACACCTACTGTACTGCACTTACAGTACTACCTGATACTATGATCTGAAAGACATTTATGATATAAAAAAAAGAGGCAGATAAGTTAACGCTACATCAGCTATATGATTGCACTACTGAAACACCATCGGGGACTATGTCAACAAAATTGAGAATTTAAACTCATTTTGAGAAAGAAAATTTAACCAAGTAAGAGTATATAATATGTTATGCCTAACTCAAAGGAATTATCCTCCTCTACAGGACTGGTGTTTTATTTTGTTCATAAATCGGAGGCTTAACTCAGACCCTGTACTGTTTATTTGATTGGTTAGAGTGGTCCACTGTATTTACCAAATTGGACCGAAGAGGAGATTTGATTAGAAGTAGAGACAGCCTTCAATACCTGGAGTGGGCATTATGGGCATACTGTAGTGGCTGGTTGTTTGTTCTACGTCCGACTACCCGATTAATGATGTTCCTACTTTAAGTGTTATATTGTACTTGTATGATATACACATATAGTCTCCTGATCTAGAGACCCACCATGTCCAGGCAATGCTAGACAGACTAGTGGAGAATATTTATTTTGCAAACTGACGATGTGTCTGAATAATCAGGCTTAGGTACACATGTTATAATATATTATTATAGCTACAGGATTTTAAATGGACCCCAAATTGATTGTTGTACTTACTTGACCATTAACTCATGGTTTGAAGGCTATACAGCATTTTGTTGGCTTTGTCAAGCACCACGGTTGGTGTATCTAAAGTTTCTTCGCGATTATAGTTCCCATATCTCATATAACAAAAAAAAAGAGGGGAAAGGGGGAAAACACACACAAGTGGTGCCCTGAAGCACTAACTGCGATTTGAGGATCGGAAAGTAGTATTTTCCTCTACTCCTGTTCTGGTTCATCCTTGCTGTTTCACCTCAAAGAAACCAAGTGAGAGATAGAAATTTCAACATTTGTAACTGAGAGGTATTAGCAATTAAACTTGCACTCAATGAATGGAGACATCTATCTGAGAGAGCTTGGAAACCAATTATGGTAACAACTGATCATAAAAATCTCTTATTAGAAAAGTGATGCTAACCATCTCTCCCCCAGTTAAGCCAGGTGGTCATTATTCTTATTACTAGACTTGGATATATGTTCTGTTACGAACTGCAATTCATCCGAATTTTGTCAATCTCTTTTTTATTGAAATACGAACAGTGGTTGATCCAGTACAGTGTCAAGATACGACGTCAAGAAATATCATTTGTTTTACATGGCAAGTTTGTGGCTTACATTACGAGTTCAAACAGATAAAGGTGTTACAATTCGAGGCTATGTAGCCAAACTTATATGAAATATGGAATGTGAACAGACCATGAGTCTATGTCTACCCCTTTCTCTGCATAACCGTGGGGCCTGTTCTTAGACTTCGCCCTAGAGTTAGCCTAGTGTAGCCGTCAGATTCTTGTTGTAGTTGGGTCAGTCTCAAGCCCTTCCCGCTACGGTCTGTCATTAGGTGACCTTAAGCTGTCACGTGTATTCCTGCGTCAAGTCTTATCATGTATATAGGCTATGGTGACTGGTTGGTTGTCTGCGGTCTTAGGGGTCATCGGCATCATTATGCCTCCCAGTTGCATCCTGCCTGCCCGTTCCCCTTAGTTTGCGGAATCCATGTGTTCTCAGGGGCTCGTGCGTCTGATTCGTGCGCTAGTTTGACTGTTCAGGTTTTTAAAAATACATCAGGGGGTGTGGGTGCGGTCCACCTCGGGCCTGTATCTACACATCTCTCGGAAGAGGGAAAGATAAAGGGAGCGGGAGAGAGAGAGAGGAGCAGGAGTTGGAGAGGAGGGAAAGGAAGGGGGAGGGTTAGGGCCGTTGTAGTGCCTGTGTTGCGGGTGGCACGGCGTCCCCCCCCGCCCCTACCGTCTGTCCGGCCGAGCACGTCCACGGCCTAAAGAGGCACCCCTGCGGTTCAGGTATCCCTTGCCTCCACCATTCCCGCTCTCCGGTATGCTTTGGTGTTTATGTCTGTCTCCCGGATATGAATAGCAGCCAAGGTGTCCAGATTTGCTGGTATCGCTCTGTGGTTCCACGCAGGGAGGCCGTCAGCTGTTCCATGCCATGGATTTCTTCGACCTGTTCCATCCATTCCTGGAGGCTGGGTATCTGTGTGGTTCGCCACTTCCTCGGGATTAGCAATTTGGCTGTGTTCAGTAAATGCTTAGTCAGCGACTTTTTGTATTTCGATAGGGGTAGCGAGGTGTGATGGAGGAACATCTGAAGAGGGAGGAGCGGGGTGTCCGTGCCTGTGATGTTTTTGATCTGTGAGTGTATTTGATGCCAGTATAGGGTTATTCTTCTGCAGGACCACCAGATATGCAGGTCTGTGCCCACCTCTTCGTCGCAGCGCCAGCAGCTCGCCGGGGGATCTGGTATCATCCTGTGTATTCTCTCAGGGGTCCGGTACCAGTTGGTCAACAGCTTGAAGTTGAGTTCTTGTTGTTTGGTGCACATCGAACTTTGGTGAGTCAAGATATGGATTTTCGTCCACTGGGGGTCCGTCAATGCGACTCCCGTGGCTTCTTCCCAGCGCGTAATGTGTTTAAGGGGTGTAGGTTGTATTGAGGACAGAAGCATTGTATAGAGGTATGAGATTCCTCTGCACAGGTGTTTGCGTGTCGTGCAGAGTTGTTCGAATCCTGTCAGGGGCCTGTGGAAAAGGTGCTTCCCGTATTGGGACTCATAGTAGGTTTTAGTCTGGAAATATCGGAATCTATCTAACCCCGAAGGCGTCCGTTCAGGCATCAGATCCTGTAGTTGCTTCAGTGAGTTCTCTGTGCACCATTGGTGCATGTACGTCCAGTCCGAGTCTCCAAAGGCTTGGATATCTTGTGGTGTAAGGCCACCCGCCAGGTCCGGGTTATGCCTTATTGGCGTCAGTGGTCCCGGGGTGGTGGTCAGCATTAGGGTGGTTCTCACGGAGTACCAGGTTCGCAGCGTCGCTTCGATGAGCGGGTGATTACGGGTGCGTGCATTCGTCAAGGTGCCCTCAAGCCATACCACGGCCGGGATCGACCCATCCATTTGGCTCCGTTCCATGTGTATCCATTGTTTGCAAGTTTCGGGGACGTGCCAGTCCACGACTCTATGGAGGTGTGTCGCTCTATAGTAATCGAGGACTGATGGAAGGCCCACTCCACCCTGTGCTTTGGGTAGGCGGAGGTGTAGCTTCTTCAGTCTGGGAGCCTTAGATTGCCATATGAATTTAGTGATAGCTGTGTCCATCGTTCGGAAGAAGGCCCTTGGTATATTGATCGGTATGGTCTGGAACAGGTACAGGAGTCGGGGCAGGAGGTTCATTTTAATAGCATTCATTCTCCCGAACCACAAGATGCATAGACTTCCCCACCGAGTTAGGTCTGCCCCCAGCTTATGTACCATCGGTGCGAAGTTGTGTGTGTATAGCTGGGTCAGGTCAGCTGTCAACCATATTCCCAGGTATTTGAGCCTGATTGGGCACCACGTGAAGGCGAACTGGGTCTTTTTTTTTTTTTTATTCTTTATTTTTGTTGCGCAGGTGAGTACAAAAACATTGAGAAACGCCACAACAGCGTACAAGTGTGTATAAATAGGCTAAACAGTGGCAGAGACAATTGTGCATTTTTTGTTTTTGAGTAAAGGCTTAACAGAATTATGCTAGGTACAGGAGAAATGGAATATGGTACAGCTAAAGGTCGCTGATCATACAATCTGGTTGATGTTTCGGTATTAGATACTAAAATTAAGAAACGTGGAACCATAATTCTTGTCTTATGTTGAGCGGGCTCCACTAGTCGAAATTTTCATTGTGTCAGTGAACTATAATATGTGATAAGAATAATAAGAATAATAAGCTGACTAACCCTGCTAGTCTAGCGTATACGCGTGTATAGACAGGCTAAACAGTGGCATAGAGAATCACGCATTTTTGTTTTGGAGTACAGGCTTAACAATATTATGCCAGCTACAGCGAAAATGTAACGGCATTCCTGTTGTGTGTAGCGGGCTCCCTAAACAAATGCTTTCATTACTTCAATAAAGTAAAACATATGATAGTAATAATAAAAAGAAAAAAAAAAGGGTCTAGCAAAGCTTGTCTAGGTTAAGGTTGCTTAAATAGAGCAAGAGGCCAGCACGATCCCCCTAAATGATGCAGGTATCGCTTATTAGGCAGCATAACACTATGTGCAATTAGTGAGGTTTCCAGACTTAAGTTATGCCAACATATAGGTAATAGTATGGGGACATGCTGAACTATAGGGTAGTGCGTCCTTCTAGGCACATGTCCTGGGTGTCAACTAGTAAAGTATTACTAGTGGGTTGATGGGAGCATGAAGAGAACATAGGGGGGGGGAGAACATCAGTCTAGCAAAAGCCAGTGTGTTAAACGTTATGCTAGGATATTAAGACAACAATAGTGCTAAACTGGCTACGATTTCAAAAAGACATCTATTTTATAGCGAATCAGTCTGGCCATAGAGCTTGTAGTCTTGTGCAGTTTCGTTGCCTGTCAGTATCGTCCTTGTAGGTAGGTTGTAGTGAGTGTCACCTGGTAATTATCATGGGTTAGCCTTTTGCTTGTTCAGGTCTGTAGGGGATTGTGTGAGTGCTGTTTGCTCCTCTTCCTCTCCGCCCTGGTGTTGCTCTCTCGGTTCTCAGTCTCCCAATTCTCGGTCTCGCCCCCCCCGTCCGTGGGTGCTTGCAGCTGCAGCTGGAGGGCCTGGAGGAATCCTGCCGGGTTTTCGTCCGCAGACAGTGTGAGGATTGAGTCCTTTTGTGGGACCACTAGTGTGCCTGCTGCTCCCCACCGGTATCTGATGCCCTTGTCTCTCAGTTGGCGGGTGATTGCCATAAATTTTCTCCGCTCCATCAGGGTTGTGAATGGGATATCAGCAAAAACTTTCACGTGGTGGTTGTCCACGGCTACGGTGGGGGTCTTCCTGGAGGAGGCCATCAGTGCCGCTTTGACTGTGACGTCTTGGGTAACGGCTATGATGTCTCTCGGCGCGTCCGCTGGGGCGGTCGGGGCTTTCCGAATTCGGAACGCTGCTGTAATCGGCCATGTGTCTCCCTCCTTTTTTGCACCCATCACCATTGCCACTTTGTTTGCATAGGCCAATAAGGTTTCTGGGCTAATGTCCTCAGGGGCTCCGCGTATGCGGACATTTCTTCTGCGGTGGCGCGTCTCCATCTCCGTGACTGTGCGAGTGAGTCTTTGGAGTTGGAGTGTCAGTGCATCCGTTTGCCTTCTGGAGTCAGTCAGTAAGGCGTCTCTTTGGCCTTCTCGAGTTTCCACTGCCTCCAAGCGCCCCTTCATGTCTGCCACTTCTGTCCTCACACCGGCCAGGTCCGACCTCCACATTTCCCGGAGGTCTAGGAGGAGCTTTTTGATGTCGCCCTTTGTGGAAGGCGAGTCATCAGAGTCAGATGTCTCCGACCTGTATAATGCGGTGGTCGGGGTCGCGTTCTGGAAGTTCTCCTCCTCCATAGATGAGTCGGACTCGCTGGCATTTCGGGGGCCTACTCGGCGCCATCTTGGCCTGTGGAGCCTGCTGTGGCTTCTCAAAGGATCGCCTAATGTCAGGTTGGTGTGAGCTTTCTAGGCGGGCGATTTTCTTGTTTTTCTTCCCCATCTCTCTGTAGGGGGGTCTAATGCTTGTTGTTGCTTGGTTTTTGGAGTCTCAGTTTGGTATATTCGTGGCTTTTGGATCAATTTTAGATTAGTGAAGCAGGAGCTCCACATAAACACGTCCTGTGTGCTGCTCTGCTAGCCACGCCCCCCCAGGCGAATTGGGTCTTAAGGTGGGTAGTCATCGCTTCTCCTGTCGAGATGGGGAGCGCCTCAGATTTATCCTTGTTTAGTTTCAGGTTGGATACCTGCCCGTATTCGACAAAGGCCCTCAGGAGGTTCGGGATGGAAACTATCGGTTCGCTAACAAAGAACAACATGTCATCAGCATACGCGGCTACCTTATGTTCCTGTCCCCGTAGGGTAAATCCCCCTATGCCCCCGTCCCGTCTGACCGCCTCCAGGAAAGGTTCCAGGGAGAGGGCAAACAGAAGGGGGGACAGCGGGCACCCCTGTCTCGTCCCGTTGCGTATGTGGACTGGCTTTGAGAGAGCTCCGTTGATCCTTATCCTTGCCGACGGGAACGTGTACAGGGAGGAGATCCACGCCAGTAAATGCGAACCGAAGCCCATGGCCCTAAGTGTAGTCAGCATGAAACGCCAGTCCACCCGATCGAAGGCCTTCTCCGCATCGGTGGAAAGGAGAAGGACCTTCTGAGCAGAGCGTCTGGCCGCATGGATGACGTTCAGGGCCCGTATGGTATTATCTCGTGCTTCCCGGCCAGGGATGAACCCTACCTGGTCGGGATGAACTAAGTCCGGGAGAACTCTTCCTATCCGTGTCGCTAGGATTTTCGTGAAGAGTTTCAGGTCCGCGTTCAGGAGTGAAATTGGCCGGTAGCTTGCACAGTTGGTTGGATCCTTGCCTTCTTTAGGGATGACTGCTATCGTCGCCGAAAGGGCGTCTCTCGGGAGTGTCCCCCCGTCTAGTAGGGAGTTGAGTCCTGTAAGTAATTTAGGTAGGAGCACATCACCAAATTCTTTGATGTATCGGGCCGGCAATCCGTCCGGGCCCGGAGCCTTATTGGGCTTGGAACCCTTCAGCGCTATCTGAAGTTTTTCTAGTGCGATTGGGGCTTCCAGTTCTGCAGCCACATCTTGGCTTAGGGTTCTCGTGACATGTTGTTGCAAGTAGTCCACAATTCGTACGTCCTTGTGGGGGCAGTCGTCTGCGCTGCCATCTGGGGATAGGTTATATAGGTCGCTGTAGAAGCCATGAAATGCATCAGTTATCTTGTCAGGAAGTTGCGTGGCTGCTTGGGCCCTGTCTTTAATTTTTGTGATGTGACACAGTCGGTGTTGTCTTTGGAGCGTACGGGCCAGGAGGCGGCCACATTTGCCCGAGTATTCATAGAAAAACCGATGTGATTTACGTATAGTATACTGTAGTTTGCGGTGCAGGATGTCTCTAAGTGCTTGTCTAGCTTCCAGTAGGGCCTTGTAGTCGTTGTCCGATTGGGTAGACTTGTGGGTGTTTTCCAGCGCCGAGATCTGCGCGGTCAGTTCAGTCACACGTTGTCGCTGTACCTTCTGCCGTTGGGTGCAAATCTTAATCAGCTGCCCTCGGATAAAGCATTTGTGTGTTTCCCATATCGTCAGGGCTGGTATCTCCGGGGATTCATTCTCCTCAAAGAATGTGGTGAGCGTAGATCGGAGTTCCGTCGTTACTAGTGCGTCATTGAGTATCGATTCATTCATCCGCCATTGCCTTTCTCTTGGGCGATATAGGGGGGATCTAAGTGTGGCCGAAACTGGTGAGTGGTCAGACCATCCCATGGGTCGTATTTCTGCTGAGAGTAACATAGGTAGGAATTCCTGGGCCACAAATATATAATCTAGCCTGCTGTAAGACTTATGTAACGTGGAGTAAAAAGTGAAGTCTTTATCCTCGGGGTGAAGCACCCTCCAGCCATCCATGAGGCCGGAGCCTCGGAGCGCCTCACGTATGACCTGTAGCCCTCGGGACGGGAAGGAGCTAGTCCCCCTACAGGTGTCAGTCCTTGGTTCTAGGGCAACATTCAGGTCTCCCGCCACTACTAGGAAACCCTCCCGGAATGCCTCAAGTTTATTCAGCGTCGTTCTAATGAATTTAGATTGCCGGGTGTTGGGCGCATAGATACTAGCGAAGGTGTAGGAGCAGCCGGCTATTGTGCCTTTGACAAACAGATAGCGTCCCATAGTGTCCGCCTTAGTGGCCGTGCACTCAAACGGGATCGTGCTTGCGAACAGGATCGCCACTCCCGCCTTTTTGGCCGCCTGGTGATTTGCAAAGAACCCCAGCGGGTATCGTGCGTCTATCGTGGGCTAGCATCGCCTCGAAAGTGGGTCTCCTGCAGGAGTGCAATGGAAACCCGTTCGGCCCAGAGGGAGTGCAACAGATGGGATCTTCGCTCTGGCACATTCAGTCCTCGGACATTACTCGACCAGACATGGAGGGGCGCAGGCGTGAACCCCGTCCCCATGGCTCCTGAAACAAGGGGTGGGAAAGAGGGAAGGGAGGGGAGAAAAGGGCAGGGGCAGGAATAGAAGAATGTGTCAAGCCCGGTGCGGGGCCGCAGCGACTCAGCACCTGTGGTGGTGGTGGCCTTTGGGTCCACGGAGAGTGGGTGTCCAAGACCCCCCCACCAGTTTTAGGAGGGTGCCCGTCCAAAGGGCGCAGGTCCCTTGGAGCACTAGCGCAGGACTCAGCCTTCACCTGCCGTTTGTGTTGGGGCGTATTCCCCTGGTGTGTTCACAGTGATTTAGTAGAGGTGAGTGAACTATGGTAACTCTTAACTACAGGAAATATGGATCCTTGTCTACAGGGATGAGTTAGTTTATCGACTTGTAGTGTATCTAAACCGTGTCCCCCCTGCCCCCTGGCCGAGGCATACAGGTGTTGCGGGAGGCATAAGGTCACCGGTAGTTCTCATATGGTCATGTAGGTTAACATCAGCCGTACGCCTGTCAGTGTGTGTGTAGGGGGGGGCTCCGGCCCCGGTCATCTAGTCTCAGGTCCCCGGGGATGTAGCGGCGTGTCAGGGTATGGGTGAGGGGAGTTCGTCATATCTCTCACCATGTCCCAGGCGGGTCTAGTCATCTGTGTCTACTGCATCCCCACTCACAGAAGCTGGAGTGGGTGGAACGGAGAGTCTGTCAGGTCTGTCGTAGTGCCTACGTGGGGGAGGCCCTGGGGTAATGCTGTCAGGCGTCCGCATGAGGTGGTGGTTTAGGGTCCTGCTTAGTCTCCCTCCTCAATCCCAGTCAAGAGTCTGTTTGTGTGCCTATGTTTACAGTACATAGCCCTAACCCTCCCCTCGCGGTAGAGTGAGGGAAGGCCTCCTTGCACGTGGTCTCAGGCCCCCTGGGTGGGGTATGCACCTAGCTTCAGAGAAAACAAAAAACAAAAACAAAACAAAAACAACCCCAACAGCAGACATCGTTCTCAAACCAAAGTCACCACCTCCCCCAGCTGCATATTTACCACCCCCAGTTGTGAGGGTGCGAGATTCGAAGATTTAGGCTAGGCGGAGAAGTCAGCAGAAATGTCCAGTGTCTCGGGGAATGATGTAATGCTGCCCCCCTACGAGTTGGGGACTCTGTGTATTCCCGTATAGCTTGCTCTTACGCCACCTTGTAGGGTTTCCGGGTTGCGGGGGGACTCCAGAGCGGGCCACACTTCCCTGCCCCTGCTTGTCAAAATGGCTTCCCTCCAAGTGCCCCCCACCCAAGTGCCCGCGCGTGACCCTCCAGGTCTCACCGGCTGATGCGAGCCCCAGTATGGCAGTCGGGTGCGGCTCACGCCGTGGGTCAAGTCTCCCTCAGAGGAGTCTACAGATTTCCCCCCCTTTCCTTCCTTTTTTCTTTTTCCCCTTTTTTTTCTTTTCCCCTTTCTTCTTTTCCCCCTTTATTTTTCCTTTTTTTTTTCTTCCCCTTTCCTTCTCTCTTTTTTTCCCTCTCCCCCTTTCTCCTCCCTTCTTTTTCTCTTTTCCTTCCCTTTTTTTTTCTTTTCTCTTTTTTCCTCTGTTTTCTTCCCTCCTTTTTTTTTTCCCCCTTTTTTTTCCCTTCCCTTTTCTTCCCTCCCCAAGTGTCCTGGTTATATCCCCTCCCTCTCCCCGGGGGCCTCGTGTGTGTGTGTGGGCTCTCAAGTCCCCAAGGGTGCGTTTAGAGCTCACCGGGCCCCCACTGACCTGTTCAGGCTCTGGCTGGGCTACTCCTCTGGCCCCTCAGGGCCCCCTCTCCGGCGCGGTGGATCGCCCCGAATAGGTGCAGCTTCAGGCGGTCCTATAGGGGCTAGCGGGTCTCTCCGTGAAGAGATTGCTTCGTCGAGGATCCAGTTTCGGATTCTGATCTGTGGTAGGCCAAGTGTTCTCTGAAATCTCGGTACGTCCTCCGGCCAGCGGGCCGTCAGCCAGGCGTTACCGTGCCTCGCCTGTAAGCTAAAGGGAAAACCCCAGCGATACGGGATCCTTTTGTCACGAAGGGCACTTGTCACCGGGCGCAAGGCTCTTCTGGCATCTAGCGTTAGGCTGGATAAGTCTTGGAATAGTGCGACTTCTGCCTCGCGGTACCTGATGCTGGGGAGCTCCCTTGCGGCTGCCATTATTTTATCGCGCAGGCCACTCGTGGAAATGCAGCAGATCACATCCCTGGGGCTGCCGTCTTGTCTCGCCGGGCCAAGAGCTCTATGCGCTCGGTCGAAGTGTATCGTGTCAGGGGCTTGTATCCCCAGGAGCTGCCTGAATAGGTCGGTCAGCGTGGCGTGAAGCGATTCTGTGCCTGACTCAGGGAGGCCGCGGACTCTTATGTTATTGCACCTGCTCCTATTCTCCAGATCTTCTACTTGTCTGCGCATCGTGAGGAGCATGTTCCCTTGTCTGGTAACAGCCACCTCCGTCGCCCTATGCTGCTCTTCACATCCGCGAGCTGTCGACTCCATTTCATCCACTCGTTGCTCTAGCGCTGTTAAATCAGAGCGGAGGCCTGCAAGCTCTTCACGCAGTGCCGCCCGGAGTTCTTGTACTAGGGAGCCCGTGTCCGTCTTGGACAACATGTTGGTGGAGATTTGGGTTCGTTCGGCTCGGATCCGAGCTAAGTCACTCGCCTGGGTATCCTCCACCAGGGATTCCCCCGCACTCTCCGAGCCCGGAGAGGCGGGCGCCATCTTGGACGCATGCTGCTGTCCCCTTAGATCCGACGGCGTAGCTATAAAATCATCCATCGGTCCCGTGCACCGGCGAGGGGAGCTGACACCCGCCGACTCTAGAGCTAGGTGCTTTTTATTCCGGACCATTATCTGCCGTTTTGTCGCTATTTTTGCTGATTAGTCGGCCAGGGGTGCGGAGCTCGTTCACTGTGCGTCCTGCACCATGCTCGTCCAGGCCACGCCCTCTTCATCCGAATTTTGGCCAATTGGGTGTTTACACGAATTCCTGAACTCGGAGCTGAAATGTTGCCGAATCACCATCCAAATGACTCTTAGTGGCCGAGCATATTTGTTACTATTCGTGGACATGAGTTCTGCTCGGGGTACCTGATAAAGATATGACTGATAGGCAAAAAGACGATTGATGATTGATGTTTCGTGAACAATATTCTCCCGAGCCAAGCCACTATATGGCAGAAAAATGTAAAAAATAAACATTTTCAGATAAAAATTGTTTGGCCAAAATAAATTTTCTCACTGTGTGCAAGTCTGATTATTATTTACCACCCTGATACTTACACCATAACTAACGCTTTATCTAGATAATTTGAACCTCTTGACACAAAAGACAGAGAAATAGTACATTCAGTCCTAATCTAATGTATCAAAGCTGCTACTCACAGTACACTCCACGGATTCTTGGATCATGTTCTCATTGCCTTGCTCCTATTGATATAACTTCAGACAAATTGTTAACGTCTTCTGAAGACACAGGCGAGATGTTAACCTTGTTTCTTACCTCTAAGACTACTTGTTATCCTGGCATAACCAAGAACATTCCTTAGTATAGTAAAAGGCTCTGCTAGCTAGTATTATGTAAGGATGTGTGTTACCTCGCTTGCCAAATTTGTACTAACTCTGGTTCTCAAATTTGAAACCTTGTGGTTTATTACAGCCTCTACCCACACCTAACAGAGGCTAGACCCGTCTATAAATAAAAACCTGGAAATCTCTACCCAAAGAGGGTGTCTTATCAAATTCTGTAGATAATATATAGGGCCTGTGTGTTTGTTTTTTAAACAGAATATTAAGTAATATAATTATGTATGTCTATGAGCTGGTTCTTAATCCCACGAGAATCTGATTGCCATTATGGAGTCAAAAGGGATGTTTTTTTTTCATGTTTTTGTCTAATTGGCCTCAAATTGTTTTTTTTGCCTGCGTTTGGACCAAATAGACCAGTATAAAAAAGATATGTTTTAAAGGCTGAACTTAATGGATTTGAGTATTTTTTCAAACTAGCTCACTATGTACCTATTCACATATTTTATATAAACTTGTCATCTTTGGGAGAAAACACCTACAGGCTTTTATCTTCTAAAGTAAGTACTCAAAGTAAATTTCAAACTCAAGTCCAAAGTAGCTGAACAGCTAATTTGACCTTAAATTTGTAATTAACTTTTAATTCACCTTGAATTCTCACTTTAGTGGATAACACTATTTTGATGGTTGTTGACAGACGTACCAAGACAGCACACTTTGTTCCTCTGCAAAAACTTTATACACCTGGACAGTTAGCCAGGATATTTACCAAGAAAATTTTTAGACTACATGAGATACTTGAGGAGTTAGTATCTGATAGGTATACTCAATGTGTGCCATGTTTTGGAGAGTGTTCTACATTAAAGGGACACTGTAGTCACTATAACCACTTTGTCTCTTTGAATTGGTTATAGTGCCTGGAGTGCCCTGGCACTGTCCCTCCATTCAATGTTGCACCATGTTTGTGCAATATGCCACAAAATAAGAGTCCCTGGCCACCCACAGTCCGGCCCCTTCTGTATGTGTAGCTAAGGCAGAGATTACACACTTCCTTGTTGTCATACCCATTCATACGGTCAGTTGGAGCTCTGACAGGTTAAAAGCAGTCAGCTGACACTCTCGGCCAATCACAGCTGACCATTGCTGCTCAGGGTAAAACTTCCTTATTAGCCAAAGCAGCACAGAGGGGATGGACTGCCGGGGTCTCTTGTTTAGCATTAAAACATTACAACATTAAAAACTGTTTAATGCTGAAAGAAAAGATGGCACCAGGGGACTCCATACACTATAACTAGTTTAATGAGATGAAGCAGATACAGTGCTTACGGTGTCCCTTTAAGCTATCCTTCTATACCTCTCATCACCAGACTAATAGAGCACCTGAACAAACAGATCAGTCTCTAGAACGGTATTTGCCCTGTTTTATCTCTCAATGTCAAAACAATTGGAGTAGCCTGCTTCCTTGAGCTGAGTTGGCCCGTAATACTGCAAGTTTTTCATAAATAATGACCTTCATCTTGCAGTTCTTCCGAAGTGTTCTTTTCTGACAAGCGAATCCCGGCTTTGGACTGTCACATTGCTGCTCAAAAAGATATGTGGACGCAGGTCCAGAATGACTTAACATGGACGGCCATCTCCAAAAAACAAACACTACTGTCGCCATCATGCCCCTTCTTCCTATGATGGTCTACTCATCATTTCAGTCTCTCAGTCACCTCCAGGTAGATGGTCTCTAGATACATTGGATCGTACAAGATTCAGTTTTAATGGCATTGATTTGAAAAGCAAACCCTTCCTGAAATCTGAGGCGTTACCTAAAACACTTAAAGAAATGGTGGAGACACCTCACATATAGATTTCTTTAAAATAAAATATTATGATAAATACACATTTGCAGATGGTAGCTACTGCTTACGAATATTACTCCCACTAATTTCAGACAGACCAGAGATGCATATCTTAGAGCTGGCTTGAGATTAGGGGATCCCGCTTTGCGCAATAGCAGGTATATATGCACGGACAACGTCACCCACAATTGTAAAATTAGCAATTTCCATATTTATTGGATATATATTGCGTGTATTAAAAGAGAGTCACACTTTTAGATTTCACGCAATGTATCACCAACTGTGGAATAAATTGGCGTTATATAAATGCCAAAAACAATAATAAATAATAACGGTACTATTTGGAATATTTGATATATTTATTTATTACAGATCTGTAATACAAAACAAAGTTCCTCACATTATCTTGTGGTACAAGTCCCTGTATCAGGTTTCGCTAGCGAGGACGACTTGGGACGTGAGGAAGGTCTCATCGTACCACATAAAAAGATAATAAATTTGATTTAAACGTCCCGCGAAGGCTCCTGCAGTTAGTGAGATCTGTATTTTGATTTTTTAAATTTATTTACTAAAATCCCGAGCGCTCCCTTGTTTTGGCATCACTGGCCATTCGCTCTGATCAATGTATTGTGTGAGCATGTCGGACTTATTGTTTGGTATAGGGAGGGCATTGCTTTATTGACTAGAAATCCAGGGTGACAGTGAGACAAATCTGGTTTTTATTTGTATTTATTTTTATTTCTCCACATTCCTGCACACCTCCATGCAGGCAGCTCCACATTACTGAGCATTATATCTCTCCATAGCTGCAGCTCTATTTACATCATTCACAGCTGTTCAGCTCTCCTCCACCTTTCCCTATCCCTGAGCCACTACTGCTGCTCCCACCTATCCTCGGGGCGTTGCCAACCAAACGTAAGCGGGCGCGGCCAACCACCGTGGGCGTGGCCTGCCACTCCCTACAGGCGTGCCCTCCCCCCCACAGGCCTACGTGCGCGTCACCTCCTCCTCCTCCCCCCCATCTCCTTCCATTCTGTGTGAGCTTTACCTCTCTAACCCGCCCCACCCCCTTTTTCACCGTGCGTCGCTGTACGTGCTGCGTAGCCACGCCCACTTGATATATCCGCCACGCCCACACCCTCTCACTCACTCTAACCCCCCCGCCCCCCTCGGCCGTCGTAACAGAATTGAGAGGAAGGGAGAGAGAAAAAAAAAAAAAAACTTTTTTTTTTTTTTTTTTTTTTAATTGAGGAATCAACAGCCGCCATCTTGTCGCGGCTCGGTCAGCGGAGATCTCCGGGCCCTGTGAGGGGAAGCGAGCGGCAGGCAGAGAGCGCGCGCGGCCGGAGAGGCCGGGACACGGAGACACGGGGCCGGGGATCGTCCCCTCACACAGTCCGAGGAGGAGGCGGCCAGGCGGGCCCGGCTCGGAGCGGTTAGAGCGGCGGCTCATTGTTTTCCCTCCCGGAGGAGGAGGAGGAGGAAGCGGCGGCCGCACGGTTGGCTGGGCGGAGAGTCTGACCGAGGGCCTCGCTCCATCGCCGGCCATTCTCCCCCCCAGCTCCCCCAGCCGGGGGGCGGCAGCCATGTCCGGGGTCCCCCACCCCGCCTGAGACCCCCCATCACCCCGGGGTACCCCCAAACCTCCCCATCCCCCCCACATCCCCCCAGTGACCGGCCAGCGCAGCCCGGCTCCCCAGCTCCGATATCGGGGGGCTCGGCGGACCCTGATCGGGGGGCTCCCGGTGTAATATTGGGGGTCCTACACCAGGTGGCAGCCTGCACCGGCAGCACGTTCACCGACATTTAAAGGGGGTCACAGCCTGCACACACTCTATACCGGGGGGCGCACACACTATTTGGGGGGCGCTTCGATTTTTTTAGGATTTTTTTGGGGTGAAGTGTTTAATATTTTTTTTGTCTTAGTTTTTGGATTTTTTTTAATTTTTTTTTTACATTTGATTTTTTTTTTTTTTCTCTGTAGATTTGTTGAGAAGTCAGTCACTTCTCCACCTTATTCCTAGAGGGTCCCTGGATTAGGGGGTCCCCCAAGTTTGAGTTTTCAAGAAGAGGGGGCAGCAGTGATTCCCAGCTTGGTTTCCTTTTTGTAGCCGGGGGTCTCACTGTTATTATTATTATTATTGGTAAGGGTGGTCGTCACTGTATTGTCACTGAGGGTCCATTGCATTAGGGGGTCCCCAAGTTTGAGTTGTGGGGGGTTGTTTCTGTGTTTGCAGTGATTCCCAGCTTGCTTCCCTCTCAGTAGCCGGGGGTCTCACTATTCCCATTATTATTATTATTATTATTGTTAAGGTGGTCTTCACTGTATTGTCAGAGGGTCCCTGGCCATTGATTAGGGGGTCCCCCCAGGTCTCATTGTATTAGGGGGCAGTATCACACCCAGGGTCCCTTCCTTTGTAAGGGCCCCCCCTCTCAGTGTTTTTGAGGTTTAGGGGGGCTCTGTCCGCGGGGTCCCCC